AGAAGTAACCTTGATTCGAGTAAGAAAGTTTGAAATAAATAAATAAAATAAAATAAAAATTATGTCAACTGTTTCTTTTCTTCTTTTTTTTTTTTTTGCAAGAGAAAAAGATAATACCTACTGCATTTTTTATTGACTTATTATTTTATAGTTTGATATAGTTTTATAGTTTATAGTTGCTTCTTAAATTATATCTTTTACATTGTTTACTTTACTTTTAATTGATTTAAAAATAATCATAATTTTAAAATGCGTGCTAAAAACTGCATGTAATACAAGAAAATTTACGAATTGAAATTTCAAACATATTACATAATACGTTATATATATTATTTTTTGTTTAATTTAAAAAAATTCCAAACATACATATATTTTTTAATATTAGTTTCATTGTTTGATTCTTGGAATAGTCTCGATATAGCACAAAATATTGTTTGATAATTGGAGGAGTAAGTGGATATGGCGCAAATATTGGTTTCAATGTTTGATAATTGGAATAGTCTCTATATAGCACTTAATTTTTTTTTCTATTGTGTGAAAATTGTAATAGTCTCTATATAGCACTAAATTATAGGTTCGATTGTTTGATTATTGGAATAGTCCCTATATAGCATATAGTATTGGTTTTATTGTTTGAAAATTGTAATTGTCACTTTATAGCACTAATTATAGGTTTGATTGTTTAATAATTGGAGTAGTCTATATACAGCACTTAATATTGATTTTGGTGCTTGAAAATGTTAATATTGTTGTTGTTGGTTTTATAATATATTGTTGGTTTACATATTGTTGATTTTATTGTTTGAAAATTGTAATTGTTTTTGAATCTGCGTGAATTGAAATATCTATTGACTAATTAATACCCTTATATATCTATTTTTTTCTTCTCAGTACTTTTTCTTCTCTCTTTTTAACAGTACTCAAGTTTGAGCCTCGATGGCTCAGAGGATAGAGCGTTCGCCTTCCCATGAGGTGAACCGGGTTCAATTCCCAGCGATAACTTGTCAATACGAATTCCGCATCCGGCTTACACCGACCACAATCCTGACGTGAAATATCCTCAGTGGTAGACGGATGATGGGTTAGAGTCCTCTTGCTGTCGGGTTAACCGTGCAAGGTTTTCGTGGTCTTCTCTCCATGTAACGCAAATGCGGGTTAGTTGCATCAAAAAGTTTTCCACGAAGGCAAATTTCTCCCTATACTTGGTCCAGGAGTTCCCTTGTCTTCTGAATTGGGTTCAAAATTACAAGGCTACGGAGTTGAACATTAGTAGTCGTAATGTAGTTGAACATTAGTAGTCGTTTCCTGGTTGCCTCACCTTGACTTTATCTATAGCAAAGTTACTAAATTTCAAGCTAAACTAAATAGAATCTCTGGGGTCGACTGGGGGATTGGCTCTGATGTTCGGAAATTCATCTACCTAAACAGCACTCAGAAACTTATCTTATATGGAGCAGAAATTTGGTTTTCCCAACAGGTAAGAATCATTAATAGATTGAAAAAAATGGAAAGAACTTCTTTACTATCTATCACTAAGGCATACAAGACTGCATCTACTGACTCTCTCCAAGTACTTGCTGGAACAATTCCTCTAGATATGGCAGTAAACATAGAAGCTCAACTTAATAATATTTTTCAACATGAAGAAGAACATATAATCTATAAACCAATACCTACACCTTATATTTATCATCCGGCTGAAGAAATTTTACTTAAATATCAACTGCATTTACCTACTTATAAAGGACTAGAATTATTTACAGATGGATCAAAAATATTAGTTAACAATGAGTTTAAGACAGGATGCGCTTTCGTGGCCTATCTGGAGGGAGAACCTGTTGAAAGAAAAACCTTTCGCATCTCTGATCACGTTTCCGTGTTTAAGGCTGAATTATGGGCCATTCTCCAGTCGATTCGTTGGCTTAAAGAACAAAGAATTACAGACAATATCTCAATTTATACGGATTCCCTGTCTAGCCTGCAAGCTTTGGAAAGCAGCAACTCTAAAGAGTATTTAGTCCACTTAATAAAACAAGAATTCACAAACAATATCGCTTTACATTGGATAAAAGCACATGCAGGCCATAAGGGCAACGAAGAAGCTGATAGGTTAGCCAAATTAGCCTGTGAGAGATCAACGGTCGACCTGTTTGAAGATCCTAGCAGGCGGACTGCAAGAAAAACTTTGGAACGCGAAAAATTGATTGAATGGCAGGAGAGATGGAGTGACAGCTTCACAAAGGGAAGGCACACATTCGAGCTCCTCCCGAAAGTTCAAACGAGGAAAATCATGGGGAATTTCTTTTTAAATCAATTCCTAACTAATCACGGCTGTCATGGACAACATCAAGCCAGGTTTTTTGGGGGAGCTCAGCTGTGCAGTACCTGTCAGCTTGTTGAGGATTGGGAACATATTTTAATCCAGTGTACAAATTTTAAGCACATTAGAGAGAAATTTTTTCATTCAAAAACCACCTACGAGTTTATAAAGCAGCATTGGTCAAACCCTAAAATAAAAAAGGGAATTGAGGAAATAATAAGAAAATTGTTTAGTAACAAGGCACCTCCCTGAATCCTGATGGCCTTTTGCTGCCTCTTGTTAGGAAAAATACACCTAAATCACGGCTTATTAACTTACCTGTTATGGTTTGATTATTACTTGAATTTTCTCTTAAAATGTTTTTTTTTTGGAGCTTTAGTCTCATGCTTTGTCAATCTCTGCCCTTATGTGATTCCTCATTTTGAAAATTTTAATCACTTGTGTTCCTAGAGTTTTTATATATGGTATATATATGTCCTTTCTGTTTAAAAAAAAAAAAAAATAATAATTACTGGAATTTGATAACTTTAGTACTGTTGTGCCAGCCATAATTATATTCTGAGTTACAAACATCCTTTATTTTCCATGTGAAATTGTTTCCTTTTATTAACTTTGCACCCCTACTGAAGATGCGACATCAATATCTCTTCTGATTGTTACTGTTTATTTTCTTTGTAGTGTTTGTTTCCGTAGTTTATTTCTAAGTAGCACCGTTTTCTGGATTTCATATTTAATATTCCACCTATTTGTTAAAACTCTAATTTGAAAATTTTGAATATGTTTGTTCATGTAATTGAACTGTTACGCTCACTTCGAACTTTCGGAGTGCCCCCGGATGCCCCCTTACGGGGGCGGGACGGGCTTAAGCTTGTTATTGGTAGTCGCAAACCCAAAATCGGGTCTGTTATTCAATGGCGGTTATAAAATAAAATAATAAGGAACTATTTNTCACTTCGAACTTTCGGAGTGCCCCCGGATGCCCCCTTACGGGGGCGGGACGGGCTTAAGCTTGTTATTAGTAGTCGTAAACCCAAAACTGTTCGACGATGGTTATAAAATAAAAAAGTACTCAAACTTAAAAAGTTGACACGCTTTTTTGAAAAAACGCTTCTATAATGAACGAATTTTCTAAGTCGCCTTCCAATTTTACATTTAAATTGTTGCTTTTGAATAAAATAATACATTTGACATTATATTTCCAAATTATTATTTAACAACTGATCGGAAGTTGTGCGAAATTTGCACAGCTTAAAATCTATGGTCATAGAATATTTTCAAAAAATTATTTTGATGTGTCTAAATGATATATCTATACTAGATATATCTTATATATGACTGATAGATTAGATGATAAATAAAACATATCTTCATATCTAAGTACTTTTTACAAACTATTCTAGTAATAATTTGTAAAAATTGTCTATGTGCGTCTCATATGTGACATAATTATATGATATACTAGCTGAATACCCGTTCTTCTCACGGGGTGAAAAAAGCATCGACTAATCAGTGTTAAACACCAAAGTCATGCGTTAAACTTTCAAACAAATACCAACGCAAATAATAAAGTTAAAATTATTCCAATTTTCTATTTATTTATAATTATTTGTTGCCCTTCTCGGTTGCTTCACTTTATTGGATTAAGCAAAAACACAGTTTTAGCACTCCATCCTCTCAAAATAAAGATTAACTGTATTCAGTATTATCTGGCATAATACTGTTGCTCATGGCCACTCTTAATATTTCAAATTTACCACAGTCGAGCTTATTTCTTTTCTACTTATCTATCTATATAATAATTGTATAATAAAAATGTACAGTAATTATGCAGCTGTATTCGGCACTAAATTTTTCTCTAAAATACGTTCTATAAGAGAATATTTGATACCTATTAATATTACACTAATTTCTCTGATGCCAGTAGTGCCCATAACTAAAACTGTTCATAATTGGTGCCAATAACAGCATGGCGACTTTTTATGGTTCCCCTTTAACGAATAAGTACATTTTCTCGATTAAGTTTTCTTTTCAGTTCTTAGCCTATTTTTTATTATCTCAATTTAGTAGTTATTACCAAAATTCAGTAAGCATCATTGACTTCAATAATAGTTGCAGATATTTTACGCTCTCTTAAGCGAAGCGGGTAACATTTCTCCTTTAATTTCGTCTTTTAATACATAATTTATTGTTTTACTTAAATTAATAATTTGCCAAAATTAATTATTGTTGCCATCAATAATAATATTGATGTTTTTTACGCTTATTCCACAACGAATTTAGTCACGTTTTTCTTCTAAATTCGTTTTTCCTTTCAAAACTTCTTTTTTTATTTCGATCACCACCGATTTTAGATTATTTAGTTTTATAAAAACACGTTTTAAAAAAATAACTATAAACAACATAAACACGTGGTTTCAGATAACCTTAGACATAATAATTTGGTGATGCAGTTTATTCGTGCTACCACGATCACGTGGATCATTCAGATAACCTGGCGTAAGAAATAAAATATAATTAGGTATAACAGAATATGCAAATAACTCTTTTGATTAAAGATAGACAGGGCTTCGTAATTTACTTATAATTTTACTCATTTAGGCTTCGTAATTCTAAAAATATCCTAATATATATATTTATCAAGTTAAGTGACCATTTAATGAAAATAAAAAGCTGTACGAACCTATTATACAAGCCAATACAGGTAGAGCTATTCCTAATATTAGTATAATTTTGGTTTTTCTTCCAGATGAAGTTTTAACAGGGTCATTAGGTACAAAAACATCAGCTGGTGCACCTCTACGACGAGAACCCCGTACCAAAGTTCTCCCGGATGCTGAAGACCCGGACAGCGTGGATGGCGGTCCGGGGTATCTGGAACTCCTCATCTGACACAATATGAGCTAAAATGCGAACTAAACCAATCCAATTGTATCACACACTAAAAACAAAGTCATAGTCAGAGTCACCAAGTCATAGTCTTCATCCCCGAATATTACTTATTACTAATAATCTTTGTTTGAGATGACCACTGATAAGTCGCGATTGAGTAGACTATCATCTTTGAAGTCGACTCTTCGAGCGCTAAACAACCTAATGCTTTGATTTTAGAGCGAGGCAGTGGTTTTTCTTTCTCAGTTTTATGTTTTCCTCGTTTACTGCTTATGATATTTTGTTCCGCCTTAGGCCTTCGCGTGTGACGGTAGAATGGTTAAGTGGGAAATTTGACTTTTTTCTTCTTTCTTTTAACCGGCTAACTTTTAAGGGACGTTTACTGGATATTCGGTTTTTTTAATGGGATATTCGTCTCGTTTCGCTGACCACGGAGGACGGAGTTTTTTGTGTGCATCGTTTATGTTTTTCTTTTAAAGGTGGGTTGTGATTGCTTTCTTTGATCATCCAAATCAGGATAAGTTAGGAAAAACTTTTAATATTTAGTTCAGATAAGTCCAATTCTCATTAGAACTTATTTTGTCGAGGAATTGATGAAAATTTCGTGAGATTCGGGATCATTATTAAAGGAATTTTCTTAATTAAGGGATAATGATGTTCAATATATATGTAGCACAATAAAAAAAGAGAAAAACGAAGAAAATTAAAAAGTTTTATTAACTGCGCATAAGCTGCAAGTATATGGAACTTATAAAATAAGCTAAATATTGAGAAAATGTGGAAATTAATAAAAAAAAATGACAAGAGAAGAAAATTATTAAAAATAATTTTTCAAAAGTGTTTAAAAAAATGATAACTAAAAAAAAAAACTGATAACTAAAAAAAAAAAAAGAAAAAGAAAGAAANTAACTAAAAAAAAAAAAAGTAGAAGAAAGAAATTAAAAATCCGGAAAACAAAACAAAGAAAAGATATAATCTCTTCACCAACCCACACGATTATTATATCCGCAAAAAGGAGTGCGTTCTAATATTGTATTAATATAACCAAAGCAAAATATATCAATACAAAATTGTGAGGAGCACTCGAACAAAATTGAAACAAAATAGAACACAGTAGGCAAAGCATGTATCAACCAAAAAACAGAAAATAAAATGTAAGGAAAAACAAAATAAACACAAAACAAAATCTATAAAGCAAGTAGCGAATTCAAGAGAACTTACATGAACCGGTATCTTTCAAGAATGATTTAAAATAATAGCATAATAAGATTGCCAGATTACAAAATATAAAAACAGAATCGCAAATGGAGTTAATAGCGTAAATAGAGGTATTCTGTTTTATACCACGTTCTTACTGCAGAATTGAATCCCGTTTGTACCGTTACCAAGTGTTGGCCGGAAAAAAGATGCGCGAAAGGCAATAATATGATACTACATAATTCAAAAAAGTTCATAATTACTAAGGTTGATTTTTAATTATACTATTTTAATAATTTTAGAAAATTAAAATTTATTTAAAAAAAGAGAGAGAGAAACATGATTTGCCCGTTTTGCATAGATTTTCAGCCACAGATTTGCCTGAATCAAATTTGCAAGTTGTAAAAATATAAATTGACAAAGAAGTTTTTAGTTAATTTTAATTAGAATAACATATAATTAATTCTATGATTTTGTATAGAATTTGATTCCTTTAGTTGGATATCCTTTGTTTCTTTATCACATTTTGAAAGACTTTTTTTATTTGTTTTTTAGGATAGATAAACATTACTACCTATTCCTTTAATTCTATTCATTTGAATAAAAATCTTATTTAAATAGTTTTTTTAGAAATATTAGAATTCCAAGTAATTAGTTTATTTGTATTAAAACTAAAAACTTTTCTTTTATCGCATGAATTAACAAAGCAAATATTTTCTTCTTTTACCCAAATCCAAAAAATTAAAATTAATGTAAAAACAAATGTAATAAATATTAAGAGTACTATTTTTTTCATAATAGTGTAAAAATTTTTTAGCTAAGGGAGATGAAAAATTAGATCCTTGAGGTATTCCATCAATTTGAATAAAAGTATATTTTCCATTGTAAAGATAATTATTAAAAAGACAAAAATTAATTAGAATTTCCCAATGATCAAAATCGCAATGAAGGTTATTTTTTAAATCATAGTAATAACTCAAACGAACATCCTTCAGTTTAGAAAGGGGAATACTTTAGAAAAGATCCTGGAATTCAAAAGTCGAAATAGAATTAATTTTATTTTGATTAATAAATTCTTTTTAAAATTGGTTGATTGCTAGTGATAATCCAAGTTCTTTTATATTATTGTTAATAATTTTATTTAAGTAGTTTGAGAAAATGATGCCAGGTTTAGTTAGGTAAGTATTCGACCCACATGTGACACACAGACTTAAGTAAAATTGTAAAAAAGTAGATTTTCGATAATAATAATTAAAAAAACAGTGTATGTTTGTTCATCAGTATTTAATAAATAAAAAAAAAGCTTTTTTTGAAATTTTTTCCGACTTTTTATCTCTTTAGTTAAAAATAATTCTAATAATAAAAAGCAACTATTTTTTTAATCAACTGAACTAATGAACACTGTTATACAGAACAGAATTAAATTTGAATCTATCATGATGGTTGCACGCAATATATCTATGTAGTAAACTAAAATGTTGCTTAATTTTACACATTCAACAATATTTTATAATTTTCATTTAAATGAAACAGCATTTTTCATGTAAATGAAAATTTTAAAATTAATATATTCATTTTTCACGCCACTCATATTAATTATATAAATAATGCTATGAATTGGGTAATTTTTCTACGAATCTTTAATATTTAAATAATTACTTTATTTTCAATAAAAATTTGTATTTAAATACTTGGGCCGGGATAGCCTGGTCGGTAGGGGACTGGGCCCATGCCCGAGAGCTCGTGGTTTCGAACCCCACCGGCCGAAGACTCCCCGTGTAGTAAAGTGACTGATGCACGTTAAATCTGTCGAGTTCCAAAAGTCCTCCATGTTCCCATAACAAATCAAGACCTCTGGGGGTACTGGATTGGAGATCGATCGTTCTCTGATTCAGGTCAAAATTACGATCTGTGGATGAATGAATGGATGTATGAATGGGTCCGCCCTATAAACGGGTGCGACGTATAGTGTGGCAGAAGTCGAATTCATGGCCATAGATGGCGCCACTGGAAAACAAGAACAATCGCTCCCCTTTGCCTAAACAGGCATACGTCAACAACAACATTTAAATACGTATCTGTATTAAATTTACTGAACGTAAAATAAATATAAATAAATAAAATATTAGATAATGAAAAATATCCAGCAATGGCTGCCAAATTCTGTATACATACCTTCCTAAATATATATTCCCCATCCCCCCATTCTAGGCACCATACTCCAAGGTACCATACACCTAAATATATAATTTCCCCATCCCCCTATCTAGGTACCGTAATAAATATTCAATACCTTTTTCAACGTCTCTTATTTTCGGTACACAAGCCTTCTTAAATATTTGCCTTTTTCCCCCATCACTCATTTTTGGTACACGCAACTTCCTAAAAATTTTACCTTTTTCCTCATCTCTCATTTTTGACATACACACCTTCCTAAGTAATAATATTTCATNTATAATTTATTAAATAGATTCCCCTCACAACAACGATTCAATTTCTGCTTATATTTTTCTTAAAAAAATTCAAAATCAAAAGTATTTATTTTTCTCGGCATGCCATTTACGATCCTACGACATATCACTACTGTTACTGACATGTACAATTTGTGAAGGACCATTGACTTAAATAACATTGTTATTGTTTTCAGGAAAAAATTTTAGTACACTAGGTAAAATAAAAATACACAAAAAAAAAAACTTCAGAAGTCCTAAAAATACATCTGTTAATCCATCTCACAAATAAATAAGAAAAAAAAGTTTTTCTATTCTAGATTTATAAAACAATTTAATCTTTTTCTTTCATTTTACCATTTTTAGCTCATATTTGTAAGTAGACTGCTATAAATACAGAAATTGTTTTCCACGTTCAGTCATGAAGCAACGTTTTCAAGATTATGTGTCCAACAACAGGAGTCAATTATCAGCATTGGCACGACAGCCCTTTGTGAGCCTGGACATTCCTCAGAAACTTTTCCCATTCTGCCCTTCTCCCAGGAATTATTTTCCAGTTCTTTACTTTTAGGATGGCAAAATCCTCATCCACACAGTCCTTCCATCTTTTTTCGGGCCTTCCTCTTGGCCTTTTATTAGAGGGGGTTGCATTAGAGACTCTCAATGCTGTTCGTTCTGGGCTCATTCTCACTACATTCCCTTCGTTCTGGGCTCATTCTCACTACATACCCGGCTCATCTCATTCTACTCAATTTAATAGATTTAATGATAAGGAGTCAATTATACCTATACCAAATAATGAGTAATATTGGTGTAACAAATACCATTTGTTGGGAAACTCTAAGTTACATAAAATGAGTTATTGTTTATTATTTTTAAGGAAAAAAAGTCATAAATTAGGCTTAATTGTTTCTTTAAAAATGCTAGAAATATAACTGATGGTTCCTCTAACGAATGAATGAAGTTTTTGGTACTTTATATGAAACAATGAGTCCAACCTTCTTGGTTCATTTTACCAGTTTTAGCACATATTTTAAGTAGACTGTTATAAATACAGGAATTGTTTTCTAGGTTCGGTCATGAAGCAACGTTTTCAAGATTATGTGTCCAACAACAGGAGTCAATTATACCTATACCATATGCCAAATAATAAGTAATATTGGTAAAACAAATGCCATTTGTTGGGAAACCCTAAGCTAGATAAAAAGAATTATTATTATTGTTTATTATTTTTAAGAAAGAATCATAAATTAGGCTTAACTGTTTCTTTAAAATGCTAGAAATATAACTGTTGGTTCCTCTCACAAATAAATGAAGTTTTTGATTCTTTATATGAAACAATGAGTTCAATCTTCTTGATTCATTTTACTCTTTTAGCTCATATTTTAAGTAAATGAAAAAGTATACAGAAATTGCTTTCCACAATCGGTCATCAAACAGCGCTTTCAAGATTGCGTGTGTAACAGCAGGGGTCAAATATCTTTTTCACTGATCATAATGTTGTTTCCTAAATGCTTGAAGAGTTTTTGGGGACTCAACACTACAATTAGACTGTTCATATTTCTATCCTTATGATTTCGATTCGTCTTCAAATTAAGAGGTAAAAGTCCATTAGGGTTCTTTGTTCCTATAAAACGCAAATGAGAATTTTATTGTCTAATAGAAGGCTAAGTGGATTTTACGATAAACGGAACGAACTTCAACGAAGTCGTAAAAGTTTATTTTATTTAACTTTCACCAGTTCAATTGAACAAATAGGTCATTCCAAAAACCTAAAATTGCATGTCAACATTTGTCAAACTG